GGGGGGGGGGGGGGGGGGGAGATAAGATGGAGATCTTCTCCCCCCCACCCCACCTCATGGTTTCGCCATGCGTGAAGCAGCTTATATGATATGATTAACAATTTTCTGACTAAAAATTGTCTTGCGGATCACATCTATGTATCAATTTTTAAGTTAGTTGTTCCATTTGCAACGTGCGTTGGATCTTATAATGTAATTTTTAACTACGTGCACTTGAAAATAGGCTTTATATATATTGAAATGAAAAAACACATGAAATATACTGAAATCAGGAAGAAAGTTGTATGGAAATTTGACAAATCCTGCATATACTATAAAAAATTGTTCGAAAATTACAAAGTTTGTAATGAAGTATAACAATAGTCGCCGATAACAGGCGGTTCCCTCGAATAATCGAACGAAAACTAGTGGCTTATTGACCAGAAAATTTCATGGTATCCCTGAATTTGAATGTTTTTAAATATGAAAAACGCGATAAATCGCTTCAAAAATGGACTTTCAATTTCGCGCAAAAAATAAAAAATGAACGTTTTGACGAAATCGCAATTATATGTGTTATATATGTTAGTCAGTTACAGGAACTCACTTCCAAGGCATATGGGTGGGGGGGAAACGGGTCTGGGAATTCTTCGGCCGGGCGCATAGGGATATTGGGATCCACAGTCAGTCATTCCTTAAATTTAAGGTGGTAGTCCCTAGGCAATTGTTCTTGGGGGTCATCCTCCCCCCCCCCCTCTCCCTCCCACGACCCTGACCAGTGTACCTCCGCTACCCAGCCCCCCCGGTCCCCTCCCAACCATTCTCTTGAGAACTGTAGTAGCCGTTCCCTGACGTCAGAGATTCTATGGAGGTTGTCTAGCGTTTATTTCAGAGATTTTCATCTATAGGAAAGCTCAAATTGGAAGTGCATTTTAACATGGTCTAGAGTTAGGACACATCATTGCCACCACAGGATCCACAGAATCGTTTGTCTGGCCAGATGGAACATATTCCTTAGGAAGATATCATCCTGGAAGGGTGGGTAATGTCCCAATAAAATAGTCCTCCAATCCCACGACCACGATCGCCCGGGGACAATCTGTTGCCACACCCTGTCCCACCACCTCCAGGTTAGAACAGTCGCAGGGCATTGTAGAAATATATGTTCGATTGTTTCAATTCTCTTTCTACCCGGAAAACCTTGCTGGCATCGAGCGCACCAAGGGAGTGCTCGGCCCTGTTGTTCTAACTGCGAATGATCGATTAGCCAATTATTGGTGGGAAGGCACCGATGCAGGATCTGCCACTGCGGCGATGTGATTTTCGCAAGTTTACCCTTAGTGTCGCCAAACCATCTTATGGGAGTTAGAAGGTGACGATCTACGTTGAGGTGCCTTTGCCATCGATCGACCACTGTGTCTTTTAGGCAGCGTTTAGTCCTCAGCATACGATATGCTGATTTGACTGTGAGACCAGACAAGGTTTTAATCTTAGATTGTTTCGGATGGAAACGTGGATCCGGGTTCCACACCCATTCCAAGGGATCAATGGGGAGGGCGTCTATAGCTATTTCTGCAAAGAACGCCCGCCTTTGATCACCGTCCTCTAGCACCCAGATTCTATGAATTCGTTCTTCTGAATCCACTGGAAGGGGTCGCTGCTCCCTACCAATTTTCCGTTCCCTTCTACGCTGTACCATTCTATCAGCGCCTCCTCCGGTCGGGTCGTGTAAGTAAGCCCAACCTTGTTCCCCTGCCCTTTCTTGGCAACCCAGTCCCCTTCCTTCAGCACCCTTCTTTTGCGTAAGATGAGCCTCCACCGCATCGGGAGGGCCTCCGTTATTTCCTCCAGGGCAGTCTCTACATTATGGCAAAATCTTAATTCCTCCCTCAACCTTTTCGGGGTCTTCCAATCCTTCTTTCCCTCATCCCAGAGGTCTCCTATTTTCAACACAACATTCTTCACCCATCCTTTCCATGGGGTATCAGAACTGCAGAAAATCTGACCGTGTTCATTGGAAATCCACCGGTTCCCGAAAAGGGGTTGTCTTGCCACTTCTTCCCACCGAACAGGAGGGGGGCGATTTGTGGGTGGGAGCTTCCTCCAGATTTTTAACAAGGGGGGCCAGAAATCGTCTCGTCGTCCCTCCATGCCCCGCGAGTGTCGTGGAATCCTCCAATAACGGTCGTCTAGCCAACAGAGTGGTGGATGGTCCGGGGGGCCTCAGGGGCTAGTCGTGCAATTTGTTCTAATGCGAATGGCCTCCACACCGAGGGGTTTTCAAAGATTAGTCGTAACACCCACTATAGACTGAGGGTTTGGGATTGACCTAAAGGGTCTAAAATACCAAGGCCGCCCTTCGCCTTAGGTTGTATGACTGAGTCCCACGCCACCCTACTTATGGCGTTGGGGTTTTCGCTGTCTCCTCTCCATAAGTAGGCTGCCACCTTTTTCTTCAGGGTTTTTTGGGCGTCTGGACTCAGCGGCCAAAGAACTGATTTATACCACAAGGTGGCTAAAACTACATTGTTAATAATCAAGGTCCGGCCGAAGAGGGATGTGTGTTGATGGTTCCATTGTGATAGCTTGGCAAATACCGGGCTTGATAGCCA